ATTCAATGATCTCTGCGAAGACGATAAGATAACACTCCTGAAGAAGGGCTGCCATGAGATTATATGTCTGTTAACTGTTGTTAACTTTGATTTCAAATGCGATTCCTGGAGGGTTCCCATTGTCAGTAATATCATTAGATATATTTAGGTTATATAATTAAATAAATAAAATTAAATTGTATGTTTATGTACACCGAATACCCAGGATTCAGAAAATGCAACGCTAGTCAATCTGGATGTGTTAAAAACATTGCGACAGGATTTCACTAAAAGTGCAAAACATTTCTTGATATCACTCCACCGGGAATATGATTCCGACACTAATATTCTTGATTTGGTACACTATTTTTCAATATAATACAAAGTTTTGATTTGTAGAGTATAACCTATTATTACTGTATATTATAATATAAACTTTCTTTACAGTTAACTGTCATATTACTTTACAATCATCAACGATCCTCGCTAATCAATAAAAACTATGTTAAGTAAGTAACAATGCATGATTACTGATTAGGTTGAAACTAATTGATACGAATATTTATTTATTAATTCATCGGTAGACTCCAACAGCAGACTTACATGTATTTACTTCAACGCTATTTAGAGATTAAACACAACTCTAAGAGTGAATCCGAGACCCGATTCTTGCGATTAATGAATTGTTTGAATGATTTGTATGCCGTGAGTCTTATGATTAAAAGCAATTTTGCTAATATCATTGCTAACGATCGACAAACAGATGGCTCTATTTTTAAGGAAATTGTATTTTCATAATTTATTACAAAATTTTCAATTAATTAAACAAATATTAATCATTGGCCTTAACATTTTAAATTGAAATATCTCTAACCTTTAATCCAATTAAAAATATAGTTATCAACGAATTGTTAGAGATAATATTATTTATTTATATTCATGTAAAAAATTCTTGCCTTTAATCTGATATAACACTTAATAAAGTTAAAACTGATCTTGGTAAACACCTGCTTGCACTATTGCATCCGGTATTAATAAATAATTATAATCAATAATTTTCGAATAATGATTTATCTTTAACCATGGTAAACAAAATATAGCACTTATCTCGTACTGCATAACTCAATTCATAGAATATTATGTATAAATATACAGTATATGATAGTTTACAAATATTATTAAACATAGATGATTAAAAACAGATTGAAATACAAAACAATATAATATAAAAATTCGTGTATTTAAAAATGGGATTTTATTCCATATGTTCCAGCCCCTTTTCTATGTTAAGTTATCTTTAAGCAAATAATGACTATCAACTCCAACTGTCATTTTACTAAAATAAAAAAGGGATTTTTTTGGAAGTTGTTTACAGTACTGTATATTTTTTAAGTATAAAGTTATTATTACGTTCAAGTATTTTAAAACAGGTTTTTATATTACTTATTGAAGAAAACCGATTAATGTGTTATTTTTTGGAAAAAACAATTGGGTACTAACTTAATTAAATAATTGACTTTTTAATAGATTTTATAATAATAAATGTTAATATAAAGAATACTTATAATGAAATCCAAATATTGTAGTGTATGTGGTGATAAAGCATTGGGTATGAGTTACTATTTAATTATAATTTGTATGAATTTTATTTTATATTAATACTAAAAATGATCATTGTCATAATGAATTGATTATATTTGTAGGCAATAATTTTGGTGCCATAACATGTGAATCGTGTCGGACATTCTTCAGGAGGAGTTCCACCAGAGCTGTGGTATAAATATTATGAAATAAATATAATACAAAATATAGGGTAAGCTACACATTAAATAATTAAATATTTCATTACTAGGAATATGTATGTTTTTTCAATGGTCAATGTGTCATAAACTCTGTGACACGAAAATTCTGTAAAAAGTGTAGAATCGAGAAATGTTTTGCTATGGGAATGCAAATGGTGACTATTTTCGGGCTAAAATATAATTAATGATAATTGTAACTTATTATATTTTTAAGGAATCCAAAAGACAAAGCAAAACAAAAACTATTGATTGTTATTCAACTGATACCACGGATAGTAGTTATTCAAATCAATTCACAATTTTAAGTACATTTAATAGCAATCAGACTGAAGTTAATCCGATTTCTTCCTTAATAAGAAATATTATACTTAATTTCAATGAGTTGGAGGCAAATAGATTGAGACATTTATTCACATCAACCGCTTATATGAGAGATCCAGTCGTGAAGATTGCCACCAAACCCAACACATATACCGATGCTTTCAAAGTACTGAAAATGCGGTCAGACATCAAATGTCGGAGATTTATAAAAATGTGTAAAACTATAAACGAATACAAAGAGTTGTGTGAAGACGATAAAATCATTTTACTAAAGACCTCGTGTCCTGAGATACTTTGCTTGTATAAAGTGGTTAACTTTGATTTCGATGGCGAGTTCTGGAGGGTTCCCATTGTATGTCATGTGTATATAAATATGTTTAATTAATAATATAATAGAATATATTTGTACTCACTAATCTATCATAATTATGCTAATGATGTTGATAAATTTTATATAGGATTCAGAGAATGGTCTTATAGTATCGTTAGATATACTAAAGTATGGCAAATGCAACTTTTATGAAATTCAAAAACATTTTATGTATACAATGAAAGGGGAATATGGTACCGATATAAATCTAATTGATCTGGTATAAACAGATTCAATTAAATACTTATAAATAATATGAATTTTCAATTCTGTTTAGTTAATGGCAATTATACTTTTCAATCCTAATCGACCCAATTTGAAACAAAAAGATTTTATAAAGTGAGTATACAATATGTATTCGTAAAAATTAATGTCTCGTAAAATTGATAATTAAGATTTAATTTAACTTATCATTGATAGACTCCAACAGAAGACTTACATGTATTTACTTAAACGCTATTTGGAGTTAAAACACAACTCTAAGACTGAATCCGAGATCCGATTCCTAAGACTAATGAATTGTTTGAATGAGTTATATATAGCGACTGATAATTTGATGAATAATGTTAATGCTATTCAATTTAATACACCAGGATCACTTGTCTGTGAAATAATTGCTTGTTAATTAAAAATAACTATAAAATAATGTTAAAAATAGAAATATTATTACATACCAAAAGTGAAAATTGGGTTTCATGTGAATCAAAATTAAGTCTTAAAACGTTAATAAAATTAATATACTGTATATAATTTAGCATAATAAAAATTTTAGATGTATAGATTAATTATTTTTAATAAGTTATAGTATTAATTTCATAATTACAATAAAATTTATAAATCATGTTACAAATTAATCAGCTAATAAAGCATAAACCAATTCTATTGTATTTGTAATGAATTTATATTTACATTTAATATAATATTATTAAAATATTTAAACTTAACATTTAATTTTATGTTTTTAATTATGTATTTAAACAACGAAAATTATATTTTAATATCAACACTCTCCAGCCTTGATGTTTTATTACTTAAAATTTAAAATAATTTAATGAGTTAAAAACGTGCTGATACATTAGCAATAAATATTGTAGATTTAAAAAATAAATCTAAATTACTAATTGTTATAAATTCTAACTTTAAAACTGCATTAAATATCTTTATAAAAATATATTTATATAATTATTTAAATATTTTGAAAGATATATCCATATTATATAATATATCAATATACTGTAATATAATAATACAGTAATACTTTATTGATATAAAATATACACTAATACATTTATATACCATTATATCATTTTATACTAATTGTACTTATTTACTAATTTAAAAAAGAGATTTAAATTATTAAATTAGATTTGAATGAAGGTTTTTGGTTGCGCAAGGTTACCTTGATAAAATATTGATTACGTATTTCCACATGTTTAATAATAGGGAAATCACGAAGTTTTTGAAATATACTATTGTCTTAAATTTTCAAACATTAGTTATAACTTATAAGTAATATATTATTTTATAACCGATTTTTATATTTCCTAATACAAATAAATCATTTATATCACAACTTGCATATTGACTGTTTTTCATGCAAAATTGTTTTATTTTAAGTATTATTAAAATTATTAAACTCAATTATAATATTATTAAAATATGAATAAAAATCTTTGTAGTGTTTGTGGTGATCAACCATCAGGTAAAAGTTACTAATATATATGTATAAATAATGATTACATTTGATAGTAAATTATTGATAGGCCTTAACTTCGGTGTCATAACCTGTGAATCGTGTCGAACCTTCTTTAGGAGGAGTGCCACCAGAGCTCAGGTATTATATAATATAAATAAAATAAAGTTAATAAGAAAATTGAATTTAAATATTGCATTACTAGGAATATGTGTGCTTTTTCAATAACAAATGTGTGGTAAACCAATTGACACGAAAATTCTGTAAAAAGTGTAGAATCGAGAAATGCTTTGCAATGGGAATGAGAAAAGTGAGTATTTCTTACTTTTTACAGTGTATATTAGTGATAATTAATTATTAATTCAATATATTTATATTTTTAAAGGAATTAACAAGATACAATAACACAGGAACTGTTAACTGTCTATCATCTGATGCCACGAATAATGACCATTTCACTGAATCTATGATTTTATATATAAGTGATAGCAATGAGACTATAGTTAATCCGATGGCTTCTATACTACGAGATCTCATATTCAACTTCAATGAGTTAGAGATGAATCGTTTGAAACAATTATTCACATCAACCGCTTATATGAGAGATCCAGTCGTGAAGATAACATCCAAAGTCGACACATATACCGATGTATAGTCCTCCTCATTACCTTTGGTTCCTTCATATAAGCGGTTGACGTGAATAACCGTTTAAAGCGAGTCATCTCTAACTCATTGAAGTTGAATATAAGACCTCTTATGAGGGATGCCATCGGATTCGCGATAGACTCGCAACTGTTGTCAACCGTATTTAAAATCATCGGTTCATTTGTATTATTAATATTACTAGCATTTGCCAATATACATTTCATACTTTTCCGTTTATAACTTCTTTTTGATTCCTTGAAATAATGTATTTTATGGATTATTATTTATTATTCATTGCGTAACCGTAATCACTTACTATTTTCATGCCTATAGTAAAACATTTCGCAATTCTGCACTTTGTACAGAATTTTCGTGTCAATTGGCTTATTGCACATTGATTATTAAATGAGCATGTATATTTCTAATTAGTAAGCATTTAAGTACAAAGTTTATATAATTCCTTTTATCATATTATATAATGTTATTATACCTGAGCTCTGGTGGCATTTCTCCTAAAGAATATACGACACGATTCACAGGCCAGGGCACCGAAGTTAGGGCCTATGGTTACAGTATTTAATAATTTTGTCCATTTAAAAATTATTTTACATTTAATTACAAATCCTACCTAATGCCTGGTCACCACATACATCACAAATATTTTTGTTCATTCTTATTTACTCTACAATAGTATTTTATTAACTCTTATTTAAAAATAGTATAATTTTGTTGCAAATAAAAATATTCTATTAAAAAATCTATGGTACCTTATATTACAATATACTGTAATTTTCTTTGTAAGCAATGTAAATATGTTAAAAACCTGTATTAATAAGGTATTTAAAGTTTTAATAATTTATGTGAATAACCATTGTATTTTTGGTTTGTATAAACATTTGTTAACAGATACTTAATCATATTGTGAAGGTTATATTATAAAGTATAGAGTCTATCATACAGTGTATGACATACACTTGTCTGTCATGTATACTTCAGAATGTAAATGATTTATAAAACTAGTAAATACTATGATTGTAGTCACAGAATAGTGTATAAGAGAATATATTGTATAAGTTATTCAGTTTTATTGCATTTCCATTATGTCACAAATTTTCCACACGTTATTTTAAATGCTTAATAAATTTAGTTTAAATTGATTTATTATTTACTAAATTTACTAAACAATTCTTACAAATTTCGTGATAAATATATACATCAAAATTTTAATGATAAATTCCTAAAATCAGTATTAATCATATTATTGATGCTAAACAAAACTCATTCAAACAATTCATTTAATCGCAAGAATCGGGTCTCGGATTCACTGTAAGAATTGTGTTTATTCTATAAATAGCATTAATCAACAATAATCTCTAGATATTTTTTACAATATTTACAATATATTATACAAAAACAACAATATTACTGTCAGAAATATATTACTATATTAGTGAGCTGATATTAAGAAATTTGTTTATACTGTATATACAAATTATGTATAAATAATGATCATGACATATCAATGCTTTGTTTTGAACCTGCTTATTTTATATTCATTTATAATTAAAGATCAAATATTTCCGAGGCGAGAGATCCAGGTGAGATAAGTTTTATCGCATTAACATTATCCATCATATTATAGGCTGCTATATATAATTCTTTCAAACAATTCATTAATCGCATGAATCGGGTCTCGGATTCACTCTTAGAGTTATATTTTAACTCCAAATAGCGTTGAAGTAAATACATGTAAGTCTTCTGTTGTAGTCTATTATGAAAAGTAAAATTTAAATTATAATTATCAATTGATAATCACCATACTCACTTAATAATATCATATTGTTTTAAATTGGGTCGATTGGGATTGAAGAGTATGATTGCTATTAACTATAATGTCAAACAAAATGTAATTATAAATTCATATGAGTAGTAAATATAGTACCAGATCAATTAGATTGAAATCGGACTCGCATTCCCCGGACATGGTTATTAAAAACTGTTTTTGTACATTATAGAAATTCAATTGCACATACTTTAGTAGATCTAATGGTATTATAAGGCCGTTATCCGAGTCCTATTTATGTTTATGATTAAGTTATTATAAAAAATTAAACACTTTTTATATACATGACATACAATGGGAACCGTCCAGAACTGTCCCTCGGCATTAAAGTTGACCACTTTATACAAACAAGTAATTTCTGGACTCGAGGTCTTCAGTAAAATGATTTTGTCGTTTTCACACAACTCTTTAAATTCATTGATATTTTTACACATTTTTATAATTTTTTGGCATTTCATGTCTGATCGCATTCGCAATACTTTGAAGGCATCGCTATATGTGGCTGTTTTGGTGACATTTGTTACGATTGGATCTCTCATATAAGCGGTTGAACTGAATAAATGCTTCAATCGATACATCTCTAACTCATTAAAGTTAAAGATCAGTCCTCTTATTAAGGATGGGATGTCATTGACTATACTGTAGTCGTCTTCAATCCCATTCATATCAATCAAATCTGTGGCCGAACTTACGGTCGAAACCTGAGGGCATTCCTCATCAGTTGTATGCTTTTTGGGATTACTTATGTTTCTACGGTTTCTCCCAAAGTGAAACATTCCCTTTAAATGTCAATTCAAACATTATACTATTACTCTATGATCTTGATAAAAAAATGATATGATATTATAATAATTACCCGTTTCATTCCCATAGCAAAGCATTTCTCGATTCTACACTTTTTACAGAATTTTCGGGTCAAATAATTTATGTCACATTTATTATTGAAAAAGCATTCAAATTCCTATATTATTAATTATGTACTTATTACATTCAGCATTAATATAGATTTTGGTGGTTACATACCTGAACCCTGGTAACATTTCGTCTGAAAAATGTACGACAGGACTCACACGTAAGGGCACCGAAGTTATAGCCTTAATGTCATGTATTTTTGTATCATTTAAAATATATGATTAATTTATTTATTTTAATTCATACCTAATGCTCCATCACCACAAAGATCTTGAAAGCAATAATTTCTAATGAGGCAAATGTCACATTTCTATTAAGGTTGAATAATTTAATAATTGATCAATAATATAGCTGGATAAGTTACTTATAGAATTTATTTTCGACATTTAATTTATCAATCATATATTAAAAATGAACTTTCTCATGATTTTTAAAATTTCCAAAATAAAGTATTGCTCATATTTATGAGTAATTCTGTGAAACATACGAGTGTACTGTAGTCTATATCTTATAAAATTATCAGTTAATTAATTCTTAAAAGATACTAGCATTTTCATAATACAGTAAGTTTATTCTCCATTAGTTTGCACTGAGTTTTGCACTAAACTGTGTTACATATGATTGTTTTGGTAATCAAGGATATTCTGTATTGAATCAAAGTGAAATTTTCAATGCTTAAGGAATGTGTGCTATTATTCGCACCCAATTTAAATATTTGATAAATTTATAAATTAAAATTCAATTATATCTATATTGGTCGCTACCATCTAAATTGTGTTCATAGCTTAAATTGATCTAATATTTTTTAAATAATAAAGTTTTATATACAGTACTATAAGTTAGTTATCATTGCTATAAATGCCGAAAATAGGTGTCCAGCGTTTGATTTGTGATCCAGTGTTTGCGGTGATAAGGCTATCGGTGAGTATATGAGAATCCGAGTTTTATAGTAGCCTTTTACAAAAATCTATATGAATATCTTAGATAATATCTGTATTAGATAATATTATATTAATCACACATAAATACATTGAAATGAATAGCGTATTTATCATAGTTTAATATGTGATTAAATGAATATCGTTTTTGAAAGGCTACTATAAAACTCCGATTCTCATATTATCAAAACTTGTTAATAATTTACATGAAATTCAATTAACATTAATTACAATAAAGCATATAATTTTGGTATACAATCGTGTGAACCGTGTAAAGCGTTTTTTCGAAGAAATGCTTTCAGAGAAAATGTAAATAAATATAAAAACTTTTTAAATTATTTAATAATAATCTTATAAAATAAAAATAAATATTAATAGGACCAGACATTTAGCTGTTATTTTGATAACAAATGTGAAATCGATGTCATAACGCGACGATTCTGTCGTAAATGCCGATTAATAAAGTGTTTTGCCGTCGGAATGAATAAAGTATTATATATTTTTAATGACTTATAAATGATTACTAAATAAATATAACGATCACTGAAGGCATACATGTTTTCTGGCGAACAAAGACGCAAACGAAAGGCTATTGTTGAAGAAAATCGGCGTAAAAGTAAAGTCAATAATGAGTTGAATGCCATTCACTCGTCCGACACATCATCGCAAACACAATCGGATTCATCACTCAATGATACAAACAATGTCTCAATGATTGTTGAAAATGATGTGAACACAGATTCGGCGAACAATTCACAAAATATATTGGATTTGAATGACATAGAGATTGAAGAATCATTTGCTGAACATTTTCCTATGATTCCTATTCCTAATCAAATCAATACATACGACAAGAATTTAAATCACATAGAAATGAATCGTTTGGAAGAACTGCTAACCGCTACCAAACAAATATGGGAACCGATCAGCGAAATAACATCCGAGTCCGTGGATTATCCAGATGTACGATATACGATGCATACTAAATGGGAACGGGATGTCAGCCGACTTACATTGTTGTCCAAACATTTAAGTTCATTCACCGGTATCTGCGATGAGGACCGGATGTTTCTCCTGAAGGCCGGTTACCGCGAGATATTACACATGCGTTCACTCGTTGTCTATAATAATGATCGTCAACATTGGGCTATAGTTTTGGTGAGATTTATAAAGATTAATTCAATAATATTTGTAACATTTATTTAATTATTATAATTAGGACTTAAATAACACAACTGTCCTAAAGGTGACAACATTGAAGATGTTTGGCCAGGATTTCTATGAACTCTACAAAAACTTTTTCAATAAATATGGTCGCGAATGGGACTTTGACTCAATTATATTAGACCTGGTAATTGAAATATTTGTAAAATATTTGTATTTATAAATTTGTAAAATTCATATGTAGTTGACAGTCATCGCACTGTACACACCGGATCGGCCCAATATTATGCACAAACATGCGGTTAAGTAAGTCTTAATTCTGACTGACATTGCTAATTTTAAATATAATTTTTTGTTAAATGTTTGCATTGATAGACTTCAACAGCAAATGTATTTACATTTACTCCGACGATATTTAAGACTCAAATATTCAGAATCAGAAATGAATATAAAGTTTTCAAAATTAATGACATGTTTGAAAGAATTGAAGTATTTTCCAGGTTATAATAGGATTTTACTTGATACCCAAGCAATTTCCAATAATTTTATATCTTAAATATTTGATAAACAAATACAAAGTATATCTAAAAAGTAATACAGTACCTGTAATAATTTGAATGTTTTAAGTTTTAGTTTATATTGTAGCATAATAATATATTGTAATAAATTTTTGTATTTCAAGTGTTTATAATAATGTATTTTAATAAAAGTATTTTTAAAATTAAAGACTTATTATCAAAATTCTATACTAATACTGTATTAGTAATACACAACTATTAATAAATGATAATGTAATTTTTCAATTAATTTTCTTCATATGAATTTAATTCCTAAATACATTTCTATTTGTGTTATGAATAAAAATTATCGCTATAAAATTAATTAAGCATTGAAATTAACCAAAATGTGTATGAAATCAATAAGAATTTCTTCACTAAATTCGGTGGTGAATGGGATTTCGATTCAATCATTGTAGACCTGGTAGTTAATGGACATATTTTTTATGTTATTTATATGTTTAATAATAATTGTTACATGTCTATTTAGCTGACTGCCGTGGCATTGTTCACACCGGATCAGCCCAATATTATACACAAAAATATGGTTAAGTAAGTTTTAATTTTGAATAACATTGTTAACTTTTGATTAGATCTATTAATTGTTAAATGTGTGTATTTGATAGGCTTCAACAGCAAATGTATATCCATTTACTTCGACGATATTTAAGACTCAAATATAGCGATACAGAAATGAATGCAAAGTTTGCGACACTAATGAAATGTTTGAGTGAATTGAAGTATTTTTCTGGTTACCGAAAATCTATACTTGGTAACTTATTGGCCATTCTTTCGGAGAAAATTTAATTTTGCTGAATTTCATAAAATTTGAGTAATGACAAATTAACAATAACGTTTTAATAATTAATAACAAAAGAATTAATTTGGTCTTGGTATAGTGCAAATTGTTGCCCATAATAAGACAAATACTATTCATATTGTAAAATGTCACATAACTAGTCATAGATCAAATATATAAATAAATAATAATTAAATAATATTATGGACTAAAATGTAACTGTTAATGTTATGAGCTGATTTAATGGTGGATATAAGTAGTATGGAAGTCATGGTACTCATTAAAAAAATTAACAAAATCGGTGACAACTATACACAAAATTAGGCACCCCCCCCCCTATTGAATCCAATGTATTTTTCATTGTACTTACGATGTGGACACCGTGTACATCAACGTCCAGATAATCGGAGTTCTCCTATAAATGAAGTTATGATATACTGTATATCCAAACAGAATATTAAAAAATTAAATGTATCATTTTAAACAAATCTATACATCTGATGTTAGAAAGCAAATTGAGGTTTATATATAGGCCAGACAAGAGCAACTGTTATTGATTGTCAGTACCTGGTTCAAATGACTTAAAAAATAATTCACAGAAATCATTACTTTTATTACTTATTTTTCACATTTTCTAATTAATTTCAACTTTTCTATAATAAGTTTTCTTACTTCCAACTAATATAAAATAAAATTGAATTTGTGTATGGATTTTGAGAATATCATTACAAATGTTGTAATATGGCCATTTCTGGTCATGCTGCTTTTCTATGGTTTATATTAAATGGTAAAAAATTTTTGAAAATTGTATCATTTAATATTTGTAGTCGTAAGTTGCGAACTTAGTCACGATATTGTTGTAGTTTTATTTTATGTCATATTTTAAAATTAAATTTGAAAGTTTATGCAACCATGCTGTATATTTCACTATATCTTTGATAGGAAACAAAATCAGGATTATGGATTGCATATGAATTTAATATACTTTACTCACAAGCAATGAAGATTTCTACAATTAATACGCAATCCATAATCCGGAATTTTATTTTCTATCACAGATATAGTCTATTTATACACTGATACTGTATTAGTGATACATGTATTAATTTATTCGGAATGAGTTTCACTTATTTCAAATTATTACATTTGTAATCTGTATAACATTTACTAATTATACATGCTACTTCCTTTTGGAAGTCATTTGTAATAAATGAGTATTTTATCTACACATCTGTTTACCCCCTAAACAGCCCTCCAATCAAAGTGTATTTAAGAAATGTGTGTGTGTGTGAGAGAGAGAGAGAGAGAGAGAGAGAGAGAGAGCTGACTTAATACATAAAATTCACTTGAAAAAACAAAAAACAGCAAACTCTTATTTAATATACACACGGTTTAAAATAACACACTTTAATACATAATTATATAGTTTGTTGGGCACCAGTGTTTTGCCGCTAAACACTGGTTTATAATATACAGTGCGCTGCCATAACAGGCCTCCAAAACACTGGAGTCTTGTTATAATTTTTGAGATGCGATTATTATAAATAGCAAAATACCTGGTTTGAAAGCATGTTATTTCTCTACTCTTTAATATACATAAAACTTATTTTTGGTAATAATTTTAATAAATATTTCATTTCGCTCCAAACCCTCCGCACACACACACACACACAAAATATTGCTCATAACTTCTCGATGTTTTTGATTTTCATACCCATAATTATATGAATACAATAATTTGAAAAAATATTACATATATTTATAAATATTAGTGAATCCTTTCCCTAAAATAATGATCACTTTAAGAAAATGAAAGCAAAATTTATTCACAAACTAATGTATCGAATGAATATTTATAACAAATTATTGGTTTAAATTAGAAATTAATCTCAATTTTTTCGTAAGTTTTTATATAAATTTACATGCGTTTAGTCGTGAAGTTTATTAAATAAGTGATTTTCATTAAAAGTTTATTAAACTTGTTATACGGGATATTGTATGTAAAATAATTGATAATTCACAATATATTTTGAACATAACATACAAATAGTGTTTAACAATCCAGAAGTTCATTAATAATAATATTTACATATTATAGTATTATACTACAAATAACTATTAATTATCAATATTTTTAATTAATTATAATTTCTGACGTATATTCAAACACAGCCAGCAAAACAAGATGGAAATTAACTGGATATAAAAATATACATTTATATTATAAACAAACAATGCATTAATAAATAAATAATTAATCACCATGCTTAATTTACGTTTGTTGCTAGTAAACGAGTCAAACATTGCTAAATTAGCATATAATTAGAATATAATTATGTGAATATCATAAACAGTATAATAATAACAATTATATAATACAATATAATTATAAACCTCTTTACAAACGAAAAAAGAAACTTAATTTAAATGTCTATAAAATGCTAATTAAAACAGATTTTTGTAGCTGTTATGCAACACAAGACAATTTTAAAAAGCCTTATAAAAAGCGATCTCTTAATTAAAATGTATATAAATTACACACTAATGCAAAAAAGCGACGTTTAGTTTTCCACCAAATACTTTAATCATGAAATCAATTTACAACAAAATACACAAACTGGTGGAGAAAAGTCAAAAACACAATAAATCCCTATTAATTCAATCGTTTTTCTTGTGATCACAAAATGAGCAAAAAAATACTCAATCGCTTTGAAGTTTTTCACGAAAACAGTATTAATCAAACTGTGAAAAATGCTCATTTAATATAAAACTGTGTGTACAGTACATTAAAATCAGTGCTCATTAAGTGTACTGGGTTCAATGCTATAATTTATACACACACACAGATACAATTTAATTATAACCCCCTTGTATATTCTAAATATTTTTATACAGACAACTAATGAGGGTATTTCCATAAGGGGGTGCAATAAATGCACATCTCTATATCTCTATTAAGGCATTCTTTGGAAAATATATTGCATTTCCTATTATTTTTACGTTTAAAGCGAATAAATTCACTCCAAATAAATGGCTATTGAATTAAATTAGTATTATAAGCACTTGAATGTCGTTATTAAGACATTAGTATACATTAAGTGAATGTACCCTTTTGCCAATGTGCTAACTAAATGTTAAATACTGTTTGGGTTAATTGCGTGGATTGTAAGATATTTACACCTCTACACGGCAATATGTTTAATAGCCTAACCCCCTCTGATCACCCCCAATATCATAGTAAGCTGTTATTTAATATTAATAAAATAGATTTTCAGTAACACTTCATGATTGGCACACAAAATGAAAAAGATTAAGACATTATCGCACACAACACACGATACCCTCCCCTCACATGGAAACCCCTTAAACGACAGCATATAATATATAAATATATATTTTTAAAGTTAAATTAATTGAACACATATTATGTAATAATGTCTCAATAGTTGTATTATTAATGCAATAATAAATTTTGTTTATGTGTTTAGAGTGAATGAGTAGTAAAACTACGCAAAAAATATATTACAATTTAATGTCTTATAATACAAG